ATTTACGATATGGGTATCAATTGAACTATTGGATACATCAAGGAGGGTTTTTGTTTGTTCAATCAAATTTTGTTCTTTTTTTTTATAATAAAAATTTTTCTTTCAACTATTCGTTTAACCTAGGGATGTGCAGTTTCAGTATACTGATCACCGATAAAGTCACACTGGCGTTCACCGGTACACTGATGACACTGACACTGGTGTTCAGTGAATCAGTACATACACTGACACTGGTGTTCAGTGAATCAGTACATACACTGACACTGGCGTTCAGTGAATCAGTACATACACTGACACTGGCGTTCAGTGAATCAGTACATACACTGACACTGACTGCTTCGGTTGCAGTGTCTGCACCGACATGGTGTTCACTGAATCAGTGCATACACTGACACTGATTGCACTGGTTCCACTGTTTGCACCGACATTGGTGTTCACTGAGCCAGTACATACACTGACACTGACTGCACTTGTTGCACTGACGCACACTGGAACACTGACGTACTGATACTGATTTCCATTGACTAGAATTTATACACAGAAGACGACGGCATCTTCTACCTGTAATATGCGGATGAACAAAACAATTTCATTGAATGGAAGCATATCTGCTCAATAGTTTGGTTTCTTGGTGGAGATAAGCTACATACACTTTCACGTACATACCCTTTTTTCACCATTGCATAAAAAAAGAGTAAATAAAGCCAAAAATTTATGTAATCGTAACGATACAAATGGTTTTACAAAGTCCACATAAATTTTGAGAAACTCTCATCTTCTTTAAATGAATCTGGTTGAGTAATAAAATCCCGTAGTTATGTGTCAATATTAGGACTATAAGAGTCGTATTTCGTTGAAATCGACTTTATTATTCAAAATTATAGATTACTTAAATGAATCCTATTTTCTGGAGGAATAGGTATGGCCATTTCGCTAATTTCATTGACAGTCATAAATAAAGTCATGAGCAGTGCACACTTTGATAGAGTCAGCGACTTGATACTTCAGTAAGCAGCGCTGTTCCAGTGAACCCTGACACCGGTGCAGTCAGTGTCAGCGTATGTACTGGCTCAGTGAACACCAATGTCGGTGCAAACAGTGGAACCAGTGCAATCAGTGTCAGTGTATGCACTGATTCAGTGAACACCATGTCGGTGCAGACACTGCAACCGAAGCAGTCAGTGTCAGTGTATGTACTGATTCACTGAACGCCAGTGTCAGTGTATGTACTGATTCACTGAACGCCAGTGTCAGTGTATGTACTGATTCACTGAACACCAGTGTCAGTGTGTCACTGCAGTCAGTGCGCTCAGTGCAGTGGTATCACTGTCAGTAATTCATTGTTTTCACCGAAACTGCACATCCCTAGTTTAACCCTTTGAGGACTGGTGGATTATTTTTGACCTACCTATTTTTCAGTAAAGAAAAAAGTGTTTAGTTCACATTAAACTATTAAATATGTAAGATCCCTAAGGTCATAAACAACTACATTTGTCACCTCATAGTTTTCTTTTCTTTCTTTCCTTTTCTCAGATAACTTCTTTTCAAATATCCTTTGTTCTTGCTGCTACGATACAGTGGCGTCATAATTAAAATTTTGACAATGGAATGCATTTGCTTGCGAAAGGAAAAAGAATGTTTACTTATTGTAGCACCAAAGAAGCAGATTTTTGATCCAACATCCAGTGCTTTACTTGCAAATTGCCATTTTGTTTAAAAGATGAAAACAATTGTTTTTTTGACTATCATAAAATTTTTATGTAGCCATTTTGAGTTAAAATAAAATTAAAAAGTTGAAAAATGTCTTTTTCGATTAAAAAGAATTCGATCCTCAAAGGGTTAAGGGGCCCCTCAGAATTGACTTCCCACTTAGGACTCACCGGTTGGGCTGAAATTTTCAGGAATGATTGGTCCTAGTGAGACACGCTTGTAATAAAAATTTCAGGTTGACATGCTCGACTAAATCGCAGTTTCGGCTTGTTTTTCTACCTTTCAGGAGAATCGAAATAATTCCGTCGTTAGAAGGAGTACAGAGCTCGGGCTGGTTTCAAATTGGAGCTAGCCTCTGTATGCAACTTTTCAACGGACGGAATTTTCAAACTTCCTTCCGTTCATTTTTATGAGCATTCTTGTAGATATTGTTGCAAAATAAGCATAAAAAAATGCATCTCTACGACAATAAATTCCATTTTTCTTAGCCCCAGGATCGAGTATCAAAAATTCGTCCGATGATAAGCTGGCCTTATTAAGACCTTTAAAACAAAAAAAACATCGGTCATACGCAAAGTCGAGCGGAAGTTATTTCAATTTTCCTATCTAGAAACCGTATTTTGAGAAAAACGCTAAAGAATTTTTAGAAATGGATTTTTTCATTCAAATCCAGAGCAAGCCATATTACAATGGTATATTCCATTGCACCGTTTTAAAGGACGTCAGAGATGAAGGTAGCTAGCACCGTCTGACGTGCTGGTTCATATAGAAGTATTCTATTCAATAATAATGCAAGTGGGAGCCCAACTTTTCTGAAATTGACAACCTTGAAAAACCATGAAAATTTCTTCGAAAATATGGTAGTCGATTTAAAGTTTCATGCGATAAGTCTTTGGAAATCTGATCATTTTCCAAAAAACTATACATATTCTGAAAGAGAAAGCTTCGCTGCATCTTTCTATGAGGGTGTGAGTGTGAGTGTGTGTAGGTATTGTCTCTATCCAAAGCCACACCAACACCCTTTAGATCTATTGATTTAATGTGTATTTCTTCTTTTTTTAACATCTTCAATAGGAATTTAGATAGTAAGTAACAATACCATCTATTTGATGAAATGAATATCTACGTGATATAAATCATAATTATTTTAGAAACAAATATAATTCTTAAAATTACTGAAATTGACTAATTGATATGGAAGTAATTAGTGTTTTGCTTTCGAGAAGCCACAATTGATTCATCTTCTAAATTGTAATTAAATTAGATAGCTTTACTTTTAAAAAGAAAAATCTCATCCGATGAATTGAATTCATTACTATCATTACCCTCACACTCTGAAAAAAAGGAATGTTAGACATATTAAATTATACATTATAATGATCTCACCTTTTTTGTTTTGTTTTTTTAATCTATATAATTCTTCACCAGTAGCATTGAGAAAATAAATATTTGACAATGCAACCTTTTTTTCGAATTCTCTGTAAATGACCATTACGATTCATTGCAGTCTATTAGAATAAAAATGAATAAACTTCATATATGTTATAAAAAAAAGCTTGTTAGCACATCTCACGTTTGAGGATAAAATGTGAAACTCACGTCTTCATTATACTAAAAAAAAATACGTAAAGTAAAAAGTACCTAACGAATGATAGCTGTTTTCCAAGAATAATCGATTGCTAGAGAAACGATTTGCCTTGTTTATGTCTACATTTCGAATAGAATTTTTTTTTTATTTTATTTGTTTTTTTCTCTTGTTATTATTTGTTCATTGTTTACTTTCTACTTTTTCTTATTATTCTAATCATCGATTTAACTGAAAAATAAGTCTGTTGTATATATCCATCTATATCTACAGCAGGTTTTAATGCAGTATTATGTCTTTTGTTAAACTCAGAAACAGTGATATGGATTATTTTCGAAAGTGGGAACTTGATCAGTTCATGCTTTGTATGTCGGACATATAATGATTATGCTAAATCAATACATCACTAGTCATCATTCAAAAAAAAACCTATTTTATTTTTTATATTTATAATAAAATAAAATTATCATGTAAACATATTCAAATCATTTCTAATACTTTACAATATCATCAATTTTAAAGGGCATAAATAGACAACCCTAGTTAAAAAGTAGTTATCATGTACACAGATATACTGATATAAATTTAATAGTTGTTACTATTTTCATAATTGTGATGCAATAGATCACATTTAACTGTCAATTATGAAGAGAAAAACGTGTTCTCTCATGATACTATATGCTTTTGAAGATTGATCTTCAATAAATGTAATTTTCAAGGATTCGGACAATTTTAAAGTGTCTTTTTTAATTTGTCTCATTAATCCCACTTGATTCTTAGTTAAAACAATAGCGAAATGATTGTTATTCTACTATTCGATCCATATTCTTGAGGTATCTGTTTATTGTTCAATTTGTTGTAAAATATGGTATAGATGCTCAAAAATTCTTTATATTATGTTCTACTTCTTTTTGATTCAAATATCGACCAGTCTAAACGACTTGTTTAGACGATTCAATCGAAACAGAATGACCTGTTTAAAGATTTTTCTCAAGTCACTAGAAAAAATCTTAGATAATTTTTTGCACAACAAGTATCATTTTCATTCAAATGCCGACAAGTTCAGAAATATTCATGCTACAAATAGACATATTTAATTAGTTGGGATTTTTTGCCTTTCGAGACATAATATTGATTGTATTAAAGCAATGTCGTAGAGGACAAATCAACTCATTAGTTTTAGAACAGTAATGCAGTTAATATAATACAGAAAAACTTTAATCAAATATTTCTAAACTAGACCACGTTTAATCTTCAGCTATACTCCTCTTTATATGAAAAAAAGTTACAGCAGATTTTTTTTATCAATGACTTGAGAAAATGATTTGCTAATCAACTTGCTTTTCTTCGGTTACTTTTGATTACATATGACATAATCAATCGTCACTCTGCTATTTGGACTGTCTAAATTCATCTCAATCGATGATTAGATCGTATTTTGCCGCCAGGTGTCAGATCATATACTCGAATCCATCTTTTCATCTCGTTTTTTTTTCTCGCTTTTGTATCCCCCTGAATAGTCTAGACAACGGAATCAATAGATAAAACGAACTAAACATGAGGCAGGACATTTCACACTTGACCTAATGGGTAATGTGCGTATCCGACTAGTCATGTCGGATGTTCTCACTTATTTTTCGCTTATGCGGAACATTATATATAGTCATAACTGCTGACAAAACGAAATCACTATTTTGATAAAATAATGCCTCCACCATGTGTCATCGAAACATGCAAACGTAAATCACGAGCATTATGTCATTGTTGCAGCAAGAATCTTTGTCTTGATCATTTGAAAGAACATGATGATTTAATCAATTCTCAAATAAATACTCTTGTTGACGAAATTAATACTCTTGATAATCAATTGTCAACATTAAATGTTGATGAAGTTATTGACAAATGTCGTCAAAAATTGGATAAATGGCGTCATGATTGTCATATTATAATCAATCGTTTTTATGAAGAAAAATGTCAAGAACTTCAACAACGTTGTGTTCAACAAGCAGATCAAAAACGAAAAAAAATCCATCAATTGAAATTAAAAACGAACGAACTTATTCGAGAACAAGAAGCTACACATGAGGATATTTCTTTATTGAAAGCAACTATTGATGATATCAAACGTGACGTTAACCAATATGAAGAAAATGGCATTTTAGTTGATGTTCATCCTTTAATTATTAACCAAAATTTAGTCTATATTGAAGAATTGACATCACATGAACTTGATATATCAACTCTTTCGTCTTCTTATCGAACAATCGATTGTTCCAACACTGATTGGCCTGTCCTGGCTAGCAACAATCAGGTTTTATTATTAGATCAATATCCAAATTTATGTTTATTTAATAAAGAATTGACACTTTTAAAACAATCTCCATGGAAATATGATCGCATTCCTGATATGTGTTGGTCATCGACATTAAATAGTTTTATTATCATAACAGACAAAAATGGAGTTTTTCTGATTAACGAAAATCTAACATCAATTGAATGCATTCAAACGATCGAGAAGAAAAAGTGGTTGTCTTGTACATGCTCGGATGCATCTCTATTTCTAACCACCAATGAATCAGGTTCTGCTATTTTTCAATTCAATCTTTTATCGTCATTTCATTTCATCAAACAATGGAAATCTCCTCAAACTTGTAAGAACGACGAACATATCCACAATATTGCTTATAACAATGAAACACTTGCTTTAATAATAAGACACAAATACAATGAACCAATACGTATAGAACTTCGATCTTCATCAACACTCGATCAACTCTGGTCACTCCTATTGGATACAACACGTAAAATTGGACAACGGGTATATCGTGTTTGTTTACTCAAATATGACGAATGGCTTGTAATCGATTATACTACTTCATATCTTTTACATATTAGTAAAGATGGAAAAGTAAAGGCAAGGCGTTCATACAAACCAACAGTTCATAATGCTGTTTTATTTGGTTCAAACATCTTGGCTACTAGAACTACAAATTGTCTCAGTTTGTATAGAATATAATATTAGAACTGTATTATTGTAAATTAAAATAGATAGATCTATATTGTTTATTTATGATTAATAAATATCTCGTCAAGTCTTTGTATAAAACAAAATTTATTTTTCCTATAGATCGTTTGAGAAAAACAAATTATTTGTTTTTTTTTCTTAATTTTTCACGAATTATTCATATAGAGTAACAATCAAAAAAAAATAACATCCTCATTGAGAGTGTGGGTGTGAGTGCCGGTGTTTACGCATTTCATTTTTTTTTACAAAGATATTAATTTTGCAGTTCTTTAGTAAAACTCTATTTCATTCTCATTAAATACTCTTTTTCACGATAAATACTTCAACATCGAATGCTCTTCTGATTTTTTTTATTTAGATAGTTGTTTCATTGTTGAAGTAATCTGTTTAATTTAAAAACACAAAGTAACCAAACAATGACATAAGCACATAAAGCAAATATTTTTATGATATGATAGGTAAATGATAACACAAATATTTTAGTGGAGAAGCAAACGCTGAATACGATCATTCTGAGTGTCTGATATATATACAAGTACTTTTTGTCATCATCGATTGCTAAAATAAAGGTCTCATTCATAAGGTATGGTGTACTACTCGCTGTTTTATTTGGGCTTTTTGCAACAATGATACTAGTGTGGGTGTAGGTACAGAGAAGACCAAGGGTGTGGGTATGTTTCTTTTCTTTTCACACCCACATCCCACCCTAAGACGACTAACGTAAGAATCATCAGTCTTCAAATTCAACATTGATCGTGGTCTAACTGAAACTTGGTCAGATTTGGGTCTCAGGGAATTCTCAGCTCCTTAATTGAATGAATTAATATTCCGAATTAGAATCATCTATTCCGATTTTGATATAAAATAACGAATTTCATACTAGAAAGATCCAATAGCATCACTGTTTTTTATTCATCAAAGTGACTTAATTGTTTGTTGAAATTCGAAAGATAAAAAGTGTATTATTTTCAATCAGAATATTTTTAATAAGAATTCAATCATTTGTTTTAATCAAAATTTTTCTCAGACCGTCTTATTCATAAGTGTATCGAAACAAAAAAACAAATACAATGAATAACACTAAAATGTATTGAGACAAAGAAACCGGAACTTAACATAATCTATTATCGTTAATACTTGCACTATTATAATCCTAGAAATCTAGAACACTACTATAACGCATTAAAAGAAACTCGGTAGTAATTGGAAATGGTGTAACTTTATTCGATATCGCAAGAAAGACTTTAAAATCTAGTAGTATTTTTGTGAAAAACTTTTTTATTAGAACTTGTCAAGGTGTGGATGTGGGTTTGTTTCTTTTCTCTTTACAACCACACTCACACCCATACTATCATCATATACCTTCAAAATCACATCAAGTTGAGAATGATGATAGAAGAGAGAATATTTTAAGCAAATTTCGGTGAATATAGATGTAAAATTTACAAAGTTCTCTCTATGACGAACATCACCTTTTTTAATACTATTTCAAATTTTTTTTTATCTCTTGTTATTGCACAACTAAACTGCAACTTTTAGTTCTTTCTATTTTATATATAAACGTCTTGCAATAATATCAACAAAATAATAACGAATGTCCTCATCAAATCAACGCTTGTTTCAATTAGCACATGCTGATAGACATCCAGAAAATCGTTTTGATTATATCATAAAACATTATTTTCTACGTGCCCCAACTCTTCACCAAGCACATGTCTATGTTACACTCTATGGCTATCGAATATCACCAGAATTTTATGAAGATGGTGATGAAGTAAACGATATTGTACATCTACCATATGTGATAGAACATGAACAAAATCGCAAAGTCGAAGAATATGAACAGACGAATGAACAATGTTCATATGGTGAACATTATTGGCATTCGATTAAGGAAATTGATACAAATAAATATGATGGTGGAATCATTGAAGTAAATGCTGGAAGTCAGTTATTTAAATTATCAATTCAATTCAAATATCCTTGTATTCATTTGCAACAACAAGAACAACTACGAACAGAAAATGATCCTTATTCTTATCCTTATAAATATAATATGTATCAATATGAACAAAATAAGTATATTTATCAATTAAGAGCAACGAACAAAGACGATGTATTACAATATTTATTACAACATTTAGAACAATTCAATTTGACTTTGGAAATTTTATTAAATCAGTTCAATAGATCATCTTTGGGTGATATAAAGACATGGGATGAACTTACTCTACTTTGTGAACAAGCGGTGAAATGTATTATCGATAATGAAAGTGAAATACAACATGAAAAGATAATATTTAGTTTAGATACAATCACTGAACAAATTATAACGCATAATTGTGAAATGTAACTAACTCAATGATAGAAGACTTGATCTAAAAACTTTTAATATATTCTATCGAGAAAGTCAGTTGCAGTTTTTTTTCAGCTGTTTCAATTCTTTTTTTTTAAATATATTGAGTCGTGTGATATACCATGATTAATATCAGATATGGCATTGTACCGGTCTATAGTACTATGTGGATTTGAAATTTGGAGCTCGTACCTGACCCGAGAGATTAAATTTGACCTAGATATAATCACGATTATAAAAGAAGGGTGTGGGTGTGGGTGTGGGTGTGGGTGTGGGTGTGGGTG